TCATATTGTATGTACGTACGATGTGATCGATCTGTTGGATGACGAGTGCTTTCTGGGTGATTCCATCACGTCGGATCACTTACCTCTGCTGGTTAAGGAACAGATATTTACACCCACCCCTCCTGCACCACCCAAAGTAATAAGAGACTATAGGCACGCTGACTGGGACCGATACAGAGCCTTTCTGTCAAATAACATTCCAGAGTTAGGCAACTTAGTACACACAGATGATATCGATTTAGGTATCACGGCTATCTCAAATCTGATAAATCAAGCAATTGATTTATCAGTCCCTAATAAGGTTATAAACCCTAATAAGCCACCTCTACCGCAATACATAATCAATAATATCAAACATAAGAGACGACTCCTACGTCAGTTTCAACGCACTCGAAATCCTCTTATCAAAGCAGAATATAACCGCGTGTCCGCGGTGATCAAACTACAGGTGAAAGAAATGCAAGTCAGACAATGGCGGGCAGCCACCTCTAGTCTTGATTTCCGTGACGGTGGTAAGTTCTGGCATAAATTCAAGTGCCTAACTAAACAAAAAACCAATAATCCATCTCACATTATAGTGAACAATCAAATCATTAATACTCATCAACAAAAGGCCGAAGCCTTTAAAGACCATTTACAAAACACCTTAATCTCACCTAATAATCCTAGATTTGACCATGCCTTCCTGACTGCGACTGAAAGAGACGTAAACAGACTACTCGGCGCCCCTTTCGATCCTCAGGTGCCGCATGACCATCCCATCATGGCACCGGTGGATCAACAAACTTTCAAAAATTTTTGTCATATCGGCAAATCGAATGCACCGGGTCCTGACAACATTGCCAGGAGCTGCGTGAAACAATTTCCTCCGAGTGTCTACCAATATTTAACAAATATTGTCAATGCCACCCTCAAACTCTGCTATTTCCCGTCACAATGGAAAGTATCAAATACAATTATGCTCCTAAAAAAGGGCAAACCCCGCACAGATCCTAACTCTTACCGGCCGATTTCACTTACAAATGTTTTAGCAAAAGTCTTTGAGAGGATCCTAAAAGAAAGACTCATTGACTTCACTAACGAACACAATATCATTCCCTCTTTTCAATTCGGCTTTAGAGAAGGGTGCTCTACTAATACGGCATTGACTGAAATTGTCACACACATTACTCAAAGTCTGAACGACAGCAAACTTGCACTAGGTATTTTCCTCGATGTTCAAAAAGCCTTTGATCAAGTCTGGCATGTGGGACTGATCAAGAAACTACTGAACATTGGACTACCAATTCCCTTCGTCAGACTAATCCAATCATACGTCTCTGAACGTCTGGTCAGAGTAAAGGAGCATGGTTATTTCTCTGATTCCTTTACTCCAACAGCCGGAGTACCACAAGGCTCTGTACTGGCCCCCATACTTTACACAATATACAACAGCGACTTCCCAAATACTACACGAAACAAAACCACCACTCTGCTCTACGCGTATGATACTGCTCTGGTAACTACAGCAACGAACGTTGATTCTGTTCTCAGGTATGCTCAAAATCACCTTAGACTAGTTGAAAACTGGTGCAGGAGATGGAGAGTGTCCCTGAATCCGAACAAAACTCAAATGATTCTTTTTAGACACCCTAATCACAGTATACGCGCGGCCTCCTTTAACGAAAGAAACTATCTCACGCTGTGGGGAGATCAACTCCAACTCCGTGATCAGATCGAATACCTCGGTGTGAAGTTCACACGAACTTTGAATTGGAGGGCCGATTTGAGCACAGCCTGTGCTAAGGCTAGGAGCAGATTGAGTCTCCTCAATAGCTTGAGATGTAATTTCGGGGCTACGCACTCTAGAACATTAATTTTCACCTATAAAACTTTTATTAGACCTATTTTTGAATACAGATCCAATATTTATGCTACAATATCAAAATCAGTCAAAGAAAACCTGTTAAGTCTAGAGCGGAGGATTCTGCGTAGAATGAATGGTAGACGCAACGACTACCCCTCAGCCCTCATTCATCAAATATCTAATATCCAGCCCCTAAATGAGAGACTACACTCTCTGAGCAGAAGTTATACTACACGCACTATCCGGAGCCAAAACCTCAGAGCTCAACGCATACTAAAAACTGTCTGCTCTACCCGAGGCAATGTATTCACCAGACATCCTAAACCCAAAATCCCACACCTCCCCGCAATTCTACTGGAACTCGCCAGTAACGAACTCCCTGATGAATACATTGACATACAGGAGGCAACTCCCCTCTATTTCCGTCGCATTCCTAGCTAAATTGCTCACTTCGAGCTTGCCTAGACAGGGGGGGATCGGTTTTCTGCGGTTTCCCGATCCCACTTGCAAATGATACCTGTCTATTTTGAGGATACAGCCGCAGCTGCCCTCTCGCGTCGCGTTTAACACATTTACTAATTATAACATATTAATGCATGTATTTATACATATATTAATATCGCATTCTGTACATATACTAATTTAACAATCACTAATTATTCACTAATATTTTTAGAAATCAATTCTGAAAAGAACCGACCACTGCCTTTCTCCACTGATTGTCCTGGCTACACTCCACCAGTGGATCGAAGAAAGAAGAACCAGAAGCCAACACCAAAAAGACAAGAACCACATCCTGAAGAGGCAAAAGCCTAAAACAGGATGACAAAACCCCAACCAAAGAAGTACCAAACCAAAAGACAAGGAAAAACCAACGCAACAATGAAGTATTTACTCTCATTTCTTATCAGACAGTCGTACTGATAAGACGTGCTCTCTCATATCAGCTCTTGCTCTTATCATCCTTTACAGTAATTGTGCAATTTTTTTAATTTTTGAAAAATAGATATTACATTTTGAATTTGTAGTTTTTTGAAAAAAATTGTAAATTTTTTTGATTTTTTTAAGTTTCTAATTTGTGATAATTTTCGAAATGGTTCAAAATTGGCCATTGAAGGTTTTAACGCGTAGGTTCATAACTACGTTTTGTGCGTACCTACATAGTTTCCAACTCTCTTGCGAGCAGCATACAGGGGGTTCTCTTAGTCACGGCGAAGAGAAATTAAGAAATCTGTTGGAAAAGGCACTGAATGATGCAAAGAAACAGGGTGGCTACAAAAAAGGTGATAAAATTCGTATAATTGCCCACAATGACAATTTCAATCACCCTATATCGACAAAAGTAACCACAGAAGACAATATGGATAATTTGTTGCAACAAGTTGAAAACATCATTGTTTTCAAAAACATCATTGTACATTAAAATGATAAATTTGTCAGAGGATCGTCGTACCAAAAAGAGCATTACACGGATTGTTAATAATGATAATCTTTGTGGGGCTAGAGCAATCGTAACGGCTCTTACATACATCACAATAGAGATTTTAGGTTACAAGATAACAGATAGTGATGTGAAAAATATGCGAAAGGGTCGAAAATTGCAAACGGTTTTGGCGGAAAAACTTTGTGGTCTGTTGGGTGGCTCCTATGACGAAGGCTTTACTTTGGATGATTTTAAGAAGGCTGAGGAGTTGCTGGATGTGCAAATTAAGATCATCTGCGCTGAAAACTTCAACACTCTTATCTATGAGGGCCCCGAAAAAACAACCAAACTTTATTTGTATAAAAACGGGAATCACTTCGACGTTATAAACAGATTGAAAGGTTTGTATGGCACACATTTTTACTGTACAAAGTGTGATACTCCTTATGATAATAAAAATAAGCACAAGTGTAAGAAAGCACCGTTGTGCACGGTTTGCAGACTACCCGAGCACGTCGTCCAAAAAAAAATTCTGTGCAAGAACTGTAATCGTTATTGCTACAATGAAGAATGTCTGGCAAACCATACAGAAGTTTGCAAAGAAGTATTTAAATGTGAAAAGTGTAATAAAGTATGTAAAAGAGCCAATGAGCATGTGTGTGGCTACTCGATGTGCAGGAATTGTAACACATTTGTAGAGATAGCTACGCATCATTGCTATATGATGAAAAAACCCGCCAAAGCAGGAATTTGTGGCGTACCTTGTATATGTAATAGTCGTAGTAACGAAGTAAATAAGGGGTGTCAATACAATACTAAGGCAAAAGCTATTTGTTAAGGCCATGTAAATACAACGACCTCTCTAAAACTTCCATAAATCGTTGCATATATACAGAAAAATATTTATTTTTTGATTATGAGGCAATGCAGGATACCGGAATACATGTGCCGAATCTTATAATAGTCCATGATTATGCTGGTAATAAATTTGTTTTCAAAGATAACGAAGAGTTCTGTAAATGGCTAATTTTCGAAGAGCATAGAGGGTATACAGCAATCGCTCACAACGCTAAGGGATACGATTCGTATTTTATTTTAAAATACTGTGTAGAAAACACGATAAAGCCGTACACCATCTACAACGGCTCAAAACTGATGCTGCTGGAAGTACCTGCTATTAAATTAAAAATAATTGATAGTTCGAATTTTGTGAGTGGTAATCTGGCAAATTCCCCACAACTTTTGGTCTAAATGAGCTAAAAAAGGGATATTTCCCCCACTTTTTTAATGTGCCAAAGAACCATTCGTACATTGGTCCACTCCCTGATACCTCTTATTACGGTCCAAATACCATGAAATCCAAACAAAGAGAAATCTTTTTACAATGGCATGCTGATAAAGTGTCTGAGAACTACATCTTTGATTTCCAAAAGGAAATTCTTGCATACTGTGACTCTGATGTTGATATTTTGCGAAGAGGTTGTTTGGAATTCCGTAAAGAATTTTTAGAAATTGCAAATATCGATCCCTTTCAATATCTGACTATAGCCTCAGTATGTATGGCGATATATCGATCGAAATATTTACAACCAAATACTATTGGGGTTGTAAAACAGGACATAAAGGAAACGTATAGCCCGGCATCGTTAAAATGGCTGAGTCAGTTTCCAGACGTACAACATGCTCTTAATGGTGGAGAAGTGACAATTTGCGGTGCTAAAGTAGATGGCTATGACTGCTCCACAAATACTGTGTACCAGTACCACGGTTGTTTTTGGCCACCCAGAGTGTTTTGCACCCAACACAATTAACCATGTCAACAATGAGAGAATGAGCGACTTGCACGAAAGAACACTGAGGAGAGCCACACAAATAAAAGAAGCTGGTTACAAACTAGTAGAAATGTGGGAATGTGAATGGATAAAATCAAAAGAATGTAAAAATGCACCGAGCCCTCAAATTGTTGAACCCTTAAAGCCTCGTGAAGCATTCTTTGGAGGACGAACAAACGCCATAAAGCTAAATGTGACTGGTAAAAAGCTTAGATATATAGATATTGTATCACTGTATCCAACGGTACAGTGCGGTACAACGGTACGGTAAAAATGCACCGAGCCCTCAAATTGTTGAACCCTTAAAGCCTCGTGAAGCATTCTTTGGAGGACGAACAAACGCCATAAAGCTAAATGTGACTGGTAAAAAGCTTAGATATATAGATATTGTATCACTGTATCCAACGGTACAGTATTATGACCGCTACCCCATTGGCCACCCTGCTAAAATACATGCACCTGAATCATACGACCCCTCGTGGTTTGGGTTGATACATTGCCAAATATTGCCTCCTACCAACTTATATCACCCAGTCCTACCTGTCAAAACTGACAAATTAATGTTTCCGTTGTGTAATCAATGCGTCTTGGAAGACTGCGAAAATTGTGATCATGATGACTCTAGAGATTAATAAAGCCATAGAAAAGGGATATAAAATGTTGGAAGTGTACGAGGTGTGGAATTTTGAGCAAACTTCGACGGATTTATTTAAGGGCTATGTGGAAGATTTTATGAAAATAAAATTAGAAACTAGTCCACATACATATGCCTCAAACGAAGAATACGCTCGGGTTGTCAAAGAACAAATGGGCATAGACTTAGACTTAGAGAAAATATCTCCAAATCGTGGTAAACGAGAAGTCGCTAAACTATGCTTGAATAGCCTATGGGGTAAGTTTGGACAAAGAATGAATATGAAACAGAGTATGTTGTGGACCTAAAAAGATGGTTTGAGCTCTTCATGGGTGATAAGATCAACATGACTAATGTGATCTTTATTAACGACCATATAGCCCAAGTCTCATATGATTACAAGGATGTGTTTGTGGAGGACCCAACATCTACAAATATTTTTGTGGCTTTATTTACGACAAGTAACGCTCGTTTAAGACTGTACGATATGATTAATAGGCTAGGAGAGGCTGTAGCTTATTTCGACACAGACTCCGTTGTTTATATTGATGATGGCCTAAACACTGTCGAAACAGGTTAAATGTTAGGCGATTGGAGCGATGAGATTGGATCAGATGATTATATTGTAGAATGGCAGGCAACTGGTCCAAAAAGTTATTACTACAAAACAGCCAAGGGCAAAGAAGTAACAAAAATTAAAGGCTTTACCTTAAATCACGAAAACAGCCTAGTACTCAATGCCTCAGCCATGAATGACATCATACGCGATCCAACCAAAGAAATTAAGCTCACATATGACCAGATATGTCGCGATGTCCACACTAAAGATATAGTGACGAAAAAAAGGGTATCAAAGACATTCAAGATGGACTACAAAAAGCGAAAAATTGTACATAATGATGAGTGTATGGATACGTTGCCTTCTAGGTTATCAACTGTATAAGGAAACACCCTGTCAGACTTCATTAGAATACAAATATTGCAATGGGCCGGACATGTGATACGAATGGGAGAGGATAGGCTACCAAAACGAGCACTGAACGCCAGAATGCAGGGAAAGAGACCAGTTGGAAAGCCAAGAAAGCGCTGGGAAGACACAGTAAGCAGCGACGCACAAGCACTTTTAGGAGTCCGTGTATGGAGAAGAGCAGCCACAGACAGACAAGGGTGGAGGCAAAAAATAAAGAAGGCCAAAGCTCATTTTGGGCTGTAGTGCCGTAGAAGAAGAAGAAGGTTTCAAGGCCTCTTAGATATATTTAACTCACACTGCGGAATCTCTCCATTCACAGTTGAACACTCATAGAGTACACACGTATCACAATGTGGTCGGTAAATGTTATAAACCAACGAGAAATTAAAAAATTTAATGCTCATCAGTGCACTTTTCAACTATGCTGTGAAAACTATGTAGGTGGTGGCCTTAATCAAGACTCTTTGAAAAAGAAATTAGAGTCTGCTCTTAACGATATAAAAAAGCAAATTGGTTACAAAAAGGGTGACAGAATCCGTATTGTGGCTTTAAATGACAATTTCAATCATCCTATTTCGACAACAACTAGTGCAGATGTCAATATGGCAAAGATGTTAGAACAAATTAAAAATGTTGCCAGTTCCAATTCTTACATACAACTTAAAGATACGAAATTCGACATTCAAATCTTAAAAATGCCTCGCTAATTACTTTTTATGTACAATGAAGTGCTTTGAAAATTATCATTCAAATTAAAAAACATCGACAATATTCAAAATTTCAGAATGTTATCTTATTTTCAATGTTAAAAAATTCTGCATTATTTACCATTTTAAAAAAATATTTCAGAGCTACTGTACTTTTGCATAATCTGTATTTACATTTCCTTCCCACGCTTTGTTTACGAAAAATATCTACATATTTAAGTGTACAAATCCTTTTCGCTTTAATCCTTGATAACCTTCCCAAGAGTCAGTACTATTTAGTCAGCGGTAGACTACCCCAAAGTAGTAGCCATTGAACTAAGGTCTGACCAAACCTCTGCATAATAAAAAATCTTAAAAGATGCTCAGTTAAATCACCAAAAGATATCTGTTATGAGTCACTGGCAAATTAATGAACCGTTCTTATTAAGTTAAGATCTAGTGTTCGTGCAGCCTCCTGATACAAAAGATACTCAACAGATCACTAAAAGATATTTAATGAGCCATACACTGCTTATATGTAATTTCTAAATAAACAAAGCGTGGATGGTAACAAAAATACGTACGACGTAGGCCTGTCTTATGTCTTTCTATGCTCTGTATATTGAGACATATGGCGGGGAATCTTAACGAGGCCTAAAACACCTCCAATACTTCAATATTCTCTGATATATCTACGAGTATGTCATTTAATGCTGAAGTATTGTCCCCTTTGGGTAGGGCCATGGAAAGAGGTGAAATTTTTTAAATAATAGCTCATAAGACATGCTTTTGATTAATGAAATATTGTATTTTTTTTCTGAATAAATAACAAACACATCTGTTAAAAATCAATATGTTTTTGTCTATTATTTATCATCTCTCTTTACTCTTAATGTAAAATAAATTGATACTATTAGAAGATCGACAATTCTCAAAAAAGAACAGGAAATTGTTATCTAACCGGTGAAATCGATAAATTTATTATTTTGTCCGCATATTGTCCAAACTTATGACTTCTGATACTTAAACCGGTATTGCTTATAAATAAAAACAATAAAATTTTACACATTTTTTATATTCTGTTTTTTTTAAAGCAGAAAATTTACAAACATTTGCTTACCCTTACTTATTCAGCGTCTAACGTTGTCAATTGTTGTTGTTGATTTCCAAATATTAATTACAGAGGGCACTGATGCTTCATGCTCGGCTTCTCATCTAAAATTATAAGTTTACATAATTTGTACAATGCTTGTATTGTGTAATATTTTTCTAGGTACTCATGTATTCTTTATTTTACATTTGAGAATTTTTGATACACAAAATTTAAAAACGTTTTTTTATCAAGCAAATACAATGGCATTGTTGCGCATGCTTATTAGGCATTTGGGACATCTGCATATTGGACATTTTGCAAAAAAAAGTGCTGTGTAGATATTTTATTTACATGTTTGTTAAATACCAGGCACATTTATGGTATTTGTTAAAAAATTAGGCATACTTAAAGCAAAATAACAATATCTTACCTTAGTATCTGTATACTTCGTCTATTCCTGTCGGCCTTTACGCCTCAGTTTTTGACAATTTAGAACTTTTTGGGATTTTTATAGTAATTGTTGGTATACTCTGTAAGCAAAAGTAAAACTGTTTTAATCTCTTAATTGAAGGGCCAAGTGGAAGAAGGTGTTATGTAACATTTTTTTTTAAAACTTAGTTTTGTCATGGAAGAATGTTTTAAGTACCTATTTATCATAAATCGTTATTTCTTTAACTCTATCTAGCATATGAACAGCAATACACAAACGCATAAGGTGTTAAGTGCAGTAAAATTATTAATAGATACTGGAATAAGGAGTCATGGGCACATAACGCCTTCTTCCATTCATAAGCCACGCAGTTTATTATACATTGAAAATGCAACACTGTTTCCTCCTTCCGTCACCTGATGTCTCGAGGTCATAATAAACGTTAAGTACAACAGAACTATTCTTGTCATTTCTCTAGTGAATTCAGTCGACTATCGATGAGTAATTTTTAACATAATTTCTCTCGCTTAGAAGGAATTATTTGGTTGCTAAATAAATATTTATATTACAAACATATTGGCGAGATATTTATCGTTTGAACAAAAATATGTCTCAACGTGGAAAAAGGTTGGTTGAAAAGGCGCAAGCACAATATGCTGATTTAAATTATTATTCTTTAAATACCAGTAATGGCAATGAAATAGAAGGTACGTGTTTTTTAAATTATTATAAATTAAAATATTGTAAATAAATAAGAGTGATTATTGTAGATAACGAAATTTAATTTTTAGTTGACACTCGCCACATATTACCTGATAAAGAACAGGTTTCAGATTTACCAATGACACATATGTATGGATCAAGTGGCAGTGAATATGTTTCCTGTAAAGGAGTGCCAAAAGGGGTGGAAATGGAGCCAAAATCCATAAATGAAGAAGATAGAGATTTGATTTCTTCAAATATTAATATTGAAAATAAGATGGAAGGTAATTATTTTTTAATTTTGTGGAAGCATGAATTGTTCAATTTTAAATACTTTAAGTTCTAATACTGGTACTTTTTAGTTGACACTCAACAAATGTCTGATGATGATCGGGTTCTACATTCACCTGCGTCATGTTTATTTGAATCAAGTGGCAGTGAATATGTTCCAGGCGAAGAGGAATCCAGTGACGATGGTGACAGTGTAAAATTGGCAAGTATTGGAGTAAGTAGTCGGGAAAATACTGAACAGGGAGTGGGAAATCTTGAAGCAGAAGAGAATATTACAAACGTAAGCTTAGAAGAGGCCAGTTCAACGAATAATCTTCAGACATTATCTGTAGAGGCAACAAACACAGCTGAAAAGATAAACATTTTTAATTCTAGCATAACTACAAAAGGGACAAAAAGAATTAAAAGTTTTCCAATCAAAATAAAAACTAGCAAGCTTAGGGTAAGAAATCCCGATACATGGAAAAGAAGAAAGGCATTACTTGCTAGAGAACAAGGCAAAGCATACACATCCAGCACAGGTAAAATTGTACCAGCAAAAATAGCCAGCGTAGAAAATCTGTGTACGGAAAAGTGCAGACTAAAATGCAGCAGTAAATTTAAGGATGAAGAACGAAAATCAATTATGAACAATTTTTATGCACTTGACATTAACGGAAAAAATGCTCTCTTATTTAAAAGTATTATTCCTAAACCAGTAGCACGTATCAGAAAAAATGCAATAAAACACAAATCTGTATCTTATCGATATACTGTTGTATCCAATAACGAAGAAATTTGTGTGTGCAAAAAAGCATTGTGTTCGCTTTATCAAATAGGGATGAAAAAGTTAGATGTCATTAAAGGCAAGCTGGCCACTGGAGCATCAGCTCCATCTCTAGATAAACGTGGTCGACACTGTAATAGGCCAAAAAAATTAAATGATCTTGTAAAACAGGAGATAATGAATCATATTTTAGAATTCCCTGCAGAAGAGTCGCACTACTCACGCACCAGTAACCCAACAAAAAATACCTGCCACCTAATCTTAATATGTCAATCATGTATCGATTGTACATTGCTAAATGCAAGGAAAAACAAAAACCCGAAATGTATTTTATAAAAAAATCATCATATGTCAAAGTTTTTTCTACAGAATTTAATTTATCGTTTAGCCATCCAAAGAGCGATACATGCAGTATTTGTGATTCAGGGCAAGCTAGTGAAGAGCACCATGAGAATATTAAGATAGGATTCAACTTGATGAGTAATGACCGCACTAAAGCAAAAAACGATAACACTGTGTGTTACATTACAATGGATTTGCAGCAAACTATGCCTTTACCAAAGATAACAACATCAAAAGCTTTTTATTTGCGCCAAATATGGTTGTATAACTTGGGTATCCATGTTGTGACAGTAAATGGACAGAGATCTGTGTTTCAAACATGGACAGAGGATGTAGCAGGTAGAGGTAGTTCTGAAATTGGAAGCTGCTTGTGGAATTTTATTCAGACATGTGATGATGTTAAATATAAAAAACATCTAATAACATGGTCGGACTCTTGCGGTGGTCAAAATAAAAATTTTAATTTGATTATTTTATATCAGTTAATGATATTTCGAGGTTATTTTGACAAAATAGATCATAAATTTCCTGAAGTCGGCCACACGTATTTGGACTCTGATCGCGATTTCGGAAGAATTGAAAAAATGCTTAGAAGACATGGAACTATAGTTACACCTCAACAGTACCGGGAAATAATTAAATCTGCCATCGGCAAGAATTGTATGGTTAATGATATGGAAACCTATTTTCGTGACCTTGATAAATTAGGTACTGAGCTTGGCCTGATAAACAGAAAAAAAAATTTACTTAATCAAAAGGTTCGCTTCAGAGATGGCATTAAGTGGATTCGAATCGATGAATTTGGAAGTTATCTGTACAAAGAGTCGTATGATGAATATACTCCATTTCTTAAGGTTTCAATATTTAAGAATAAACCAAAGGAACCCACAGAAAATATTCACTTTTCTAGAATCTTAGAGAAGACTGGAAATATATCAGACAAAAAAATTGCTGATATTGTTACGCAGTTGCCATATATTTCAGAAGAACATCGTGGATATTACGAACGTGTGATTCGTGAATATGAACAAAACAGAAATGCTCCAATACCGCAAAAACGTCAAAGAAAGTAGTAATATCTATTTAAAACATTTTTTATAAGTTTCAACAATAATCTAAATCTGTTACTGGTTTTATGAATAAATAAATTATTTTTTTGTAGTGAACTCTTTATTTCGGTAAATAATCTATTCCTTTTAGTACTTGGTAATAATAGAAGAAGGTGTTATGTACATTTTTGTTAAAAAAAGAGGGTGAAGATGATAGTATTAAAAGACTTAATATATACCAAAAAACTTATTACTTATGTCCTAACATAAACCCTATAATATAATAGTTCCAGTGTTTTTAATAAAAAAATGACAGCATCATTCACTAAAAGTGGATTATCTTGAAAATTAGTTTTTGTAACTTAACACCTTCTTCTACTTGGCCCTTCAATTATTTTACCACGTTTTGAAATATTTTGCCGGTACAGCCGCCCCTTTGTACATGTATATTACATCTACATTTTTTACAAAATAAAACAACATGCTAGCGCTTTTACCTTCCTTACGTTTTTGAATCATTTTAGGTGCCAGTCATTGAATAATAATAATAGTACAGCATATTACTTACCTCTGTTTCCTTCTGTTAATCATTGTTCTTGGTAGGTCCTTACAGGCATATAAATGTATATTTACATATTTTTTCACAAAATTTTTGCATTTTGCCACATTTTTTCTGATTTTTTACACTATACCCATAACACACATTTCTTTGAAAAATATTATTTAAAATGACACGTTGAAGTCTTCGCTGTTGTTCTACACCTAGATAACAGTTTGCGGTTTTGTCGATATCGCAGCCTGCTTTCAACTTTATCAATTTCACGTGTTTTTCTGCTATTTGCAATTTTAATAAAAATAATATTTTGCGGCTTTCGCAACACCGATATCAGTAATCTTTACTAATTTGTAAATACATTCGTCATTTTTCATATTTTAAATACTCGATTCAAAACATAATTCTTTACAACTAAAAACCACCTTGTTAAAAATAGTTTCTCTTTACATCTTCATCGTACTTTGAGTTTGCGGCTTTTCATTTCTTTAACACACAAGTTTAAATAAAAATATATGTTTGCAATATCCATATCGCCAACCTTGACATTACTATTCGCTTTTGCATTATCCTCTGCGGTTTGTATTTACACGTTATATCAACACATTGCTTCGTATATCCCGTTCTGACCATGACACAGGTGTTACAATTTTGATAAATACTTTGTTTTTTTTATACAGATTGTTGTTATTTGATTTTAAACATCTATGTGGCTTAGCGACGTGGATACTTAGCTTCGGTGGTGCTAGTCCCGAGTTCGATTCCTACCCACTGTAGAGAATTTTTTGCTTAATAAATAATTAATAATTTGGATTACAATTGTCTTATAGACGATGGATAATATTTAAAATACAAAAATAATATGTACATATTAACAAATAACTACTTACTGGCTGTTAGAGTTCAAAGATCACAGTGGGGTGAACCGCGACGTCATCGCAGGGTTGTGATCGGTGCGCGGACGGAGCTTGTGACGTCAGGGGTCAAAGGTCAAAGTGGAGTAAAGTGGCTTACTATCTACTTCAAATATTTGGTGGTTTAATTGGAGTGGTGTTCAGTAACTAGTGAATAACAATATTATTGCTTGTTTCTAAGACATATTTCTCTGATTTTGTGTAACCTTATTTTAGGCATTTTCTTATTATTTCGTCATTAATATTATTAAATAACAGAAGTTCCAATTTGTCCTTCTTTCTAAATTAAAAATCTGACCCTATAGATGCTCTCAGACAGCTGGTAGATGGTGTTCTTGAAACAACCTTCAGTAGTAAGACAGTCGCCGGCGCTCGGTCCACAGCGACATTCGACGCCAATATGTTTCAGTAGAAACCTAAGACTGGTAACCTCTGAATCTTTCTTTTGGAATATCAGTTACGTCGGCTCTTTGTGTAGTGTCTTTTTCATTTTTGAGAAAAATAATATCTTCATCTCAAGATAAAGTTGAAAATGATACATGGAAATTCTTGAGGAATTCTGTTTTGTTGTATTATTTTTTGTATTAGTTTTAATAGTTGTTTGGTCAGATGTTTTCCTGAGTACTTTAGGAGTTCGTTCGGTATTCTGTCCTCTCCTGCTGATTTTCTATTTTTGTGTTTTCTAATGTTTAAATATTAGAAGTTATTATGATGAAATATTTAGTGGATTAATTCGAGTGGTGTTAGAACTAGTGAATAACAATATTGTTGCTTGTTTCTAAGACATATTTCTCTGATTTTATATAACCTTATTTTAGGCATTTTCTTATTATTTTATCATTAATATTATTAGGTAAAAGAAGTTCCAATTTGTCCTTCTTCCTAGATTAAAAATCTGACCCTATAGATGCTCTCAGACAGCTGGTAAATGGTATTCTAGAATAAACCTTCAGTAGTAAGACAGTCGCCGGCGCTCGGTCCACAGCGACACTCGACGCCAATATGTTTCAGTAGAAACCTAAGACTGGTAAACTCTGAATCTTTCTTTTGGAATATCAGTTATCTCGGCTCTTTGTGTAGTGTCTTTTTCATTTTTAAGAAAAATAAAATCTTCTATCTAAAAATACAGTTGAAAACAATACAATGAAATTCTTGAGGAATTCTGTTTTGCTATATGATTTTTTATTTTATTTTTAATAGTCGTTTTGTCAGATCTGGTCCTCTGTACTTTAGGAGTTCGCTCGGTATTCTGTCCTCTCCTGCTGATTTTCTATTTTTGTGTTTTGTAATGCATAAATATTAGAAATTAGTATGATGAAATATTTAGTGGTTTAATTGGAGTGGTGTTAGAACTAGTGAATAACAATATTGTTGCTTGTTTCTAAGACATACTTCTCTGATTTTATATAACCTTATTTTAGGCATTTTCTTATTATTTCGTCATTAATATTATTAAATAAAAGAAGTTCCAATTTGTCCTTCTTTCTAAATTAAAAATCTGACCCTATAGATGCTCTCAGACAGCTGGTAAATGGTATTCTAGAAAAAACCTACAATAGTAAGACAGTCGCCGGCGCTCGCTCCACAGCGACATTCGACGCCAATATGTTTCAGTAGAAACCTAAGACTGGTAAACTCTGAATCTTTCTTTTGGAATATCAGTTATCTCGGCTCTTTGTGTAGTGTCTTTTTCATTTTTGAGAAAAATAAAATCTTCTATCTAAAAATAAAGTTCAAAACAATACATGGAAATTCTTGAAAAATTCTGTTTTGTTCTATTATTTTTTGGATGAGTTTTAATAGTGGATTGGTCAGATCTGGTCCTCCGTACTTATGGAGGTTGTGTAATATTTTGTCCTCTCCTGCCGATTTTCTATTTTTGTGTTTTGTAATGTATAAATATTAGAAATTATTATTATGAAATATTTTCTGGTTTAATTGGAGTGTTGTTAGAACTAGTGAATAACAATATTTTTGCTTGTTTCTAAGGCATACTTCTCTGATTTTGTATAACCTAATTTTAGGCTTAGGCATTTTTCTGCTATTTCGTCATTAATATTATTTTATAAAAAATAACTGGTTTATTTTTGTTTACCTTTTCGTATGCAACATTACTATACTCTGTTTTTTAACCAGGAGGAGTAAACCAAAAAGACAGATTCACACCCAAGAAAGTTACTAGAAAAGTCACCAAATACATCTTCTTTTTTTGTTGTATATCTCGGCCTTGCGGTAATCGAGTAATCAATATCGGACAACCTTACACGTCAATTCTAACCTAACTTTATGTTTGATTAATATTTTTTTTAATTCACTTCCAATATATATTACAATTATTACAATAAAAAGGAGGTTTTTCACATTTGGTCCCATGTATATATATTTCAATATCGGGTGATCCAGTTTTATAGACCTTTTGAGTCGATGGTACTTAATTTAGAGAATATTTTGATCCAGAGAGTCAATAATGTTACAGATCTAAGTATGGTTTTTCTCAGAAATTTGTCTTTTAATTTGCAAATAGATCTTATACGCAACAAAGCTATGCAAATGCATGTATCAAAAAGTTGGAGAGAGTTCAAAGATTTCTGAAATACTGTTCTTTTAAACTGCGTAGACCATTACTCTTATTCTGGTGTGATTAATTTCTTGAATCTAGGTTTTTTTCTTACCAGAAGAATTAACTTTGACTTTAATCATTATTTTTAAGCTTAATAATCCAATCTCCAATCACAGAATAAATTATGGTTCAAATATAGGTGTGGTCCTACTTTTCATGCATGGTAATCAGTTACCTCATCAGATAGATTTAACTTATGTATCAATATCTTAAGGATCTATTTGAAGCACTAAAATGCAAAACAATACATTTGTATAAATAAGTGTGTACTTGAAATTTCTTTAATGCTGAATTCTTGTTTAATTTTGTCAGTGAGTTTGTCCCATTTGTTATCAATAAATAAAATTTACTAAAAAATACTGGATTTCTGTGAGATAATCAACTAATTCAATTTATTATGTTACATTCTAGTATAATTTTGCAGTTTTCTTGTGATGATCTACAACAGGAAGAACAAAACCAACTGTATCAATACAATCAAAGTAAAACACAACATTACTAATGTTCTTTTATTGTGATGAAAACAAAATGAAAATGCTTCTTAACAAGTATACACTAAATTTAAAAGATGGTTGCCGTTTTTCTTATGGTAATTAGATATAAATATCATACATTTATAAATTTATAAACACTGTAAACTCTATTTATTATAAATATCAGCTAGAAAAATATCACATTAAATACTATTATCGCATATCACCAAGTCCAAGTTATTACAAAAACAACTTAAAGAGTCAGAAATCGATTTATATAATATTCTGTGCATAATATATATTCGGAATAAATGTAAAAATAAAAATTAATTGTGAAATTAAATTGGTGAGATTAATGAACAACTACACCATTTTGAATTTCTTGATTTATTTTTTCAGCAAAAACTGAATCTATTTCAGATATTTGAGCAAGAAAGTTTTGTTTTTGGTCAGCAGCCCAATGT